GCGCAAAGCAAGTAACAAATCATTTAAACCTTCATTGTGGTAATAATGGGTGATTATACTAAACTTTTACAAGATTTGTACAATAATCCAGAGTCTCCAGCTGCCTTTTCAGGTGTTGATAGACTATGGAAGGAGGCTAGAAAAGTACTAAAACATATACCTAAAAACGTTGTGCAAGATTATTTAGAAGGGCACAGGACTTATACTTTAATGCGACCAAGACGTATTCATTTTAACAGAGCCTTGACAATACCCGCAGGTTTTATGACAGACGTCCAAGTAGATTTGGCTGATTTTCAAGCGATCGCAAGACATAACAAAGGGAATAAATATTTACTTTTGGGAATTGATGTTTTATCTAAGAGAATATTTGGGGTGCCTGTAAAATCAAAAACGGCAGAGAATATGGTAGACGCGTTCACTGAGTTAATAAAACAAATGCCTATGAAACCACACCGTATATTTTCGGATAAGGGAAAAGAATTTAAAAATTCTCAAATGAACGAATTTTTTCAAAATGAGGAAATTCACAAGATGGAACCAACTCACTCCACAGTAAAAGCAGCACTAGCTGAAAGGGCTATTAGACATATCAAACAACGTATTTACCGTTACTTTGCCCAAAACAAGACCTTAGACTGGATTCAAGTCCTCCCTGAAATTTTAGAAGGAATAAATAAAGCAAAAAGTAGGGTACATGGGATGAGACCAATTGATGTTAATTTTGACAATGCTCAGGAAGTATGGAAGAAGGTATATGGAGATGTTTTTTCAGATAAAAAGACAACCCCAAAACTTAAAAAAGGAGATTATGTGCGTATGAGTCTAGGAAAAGGAGTGTTTGAGAAGGGTTATATTCCAAACTGGGGTGATGAAATACTTCAAGTAGAAAAGGTTAAAGGACATGTTCATCCAATTCGTTACAAAGTCCAAGATGATAAAGGCGAAAAGTTTAAAGGATCATTTTACGGAGAGGAATTAGCTCGCGTTCGTAAGGATGCTGATACTGAATATAGAATAGAAAAGGTTGTAAGAAAGAAAAAGAGACCGGATGGGACATACGATCTTTTAGTAAAGTTTATAGGTTATCCTGAAAGAGAATGGATCCATGAGACCCAACTAGTATAAAAGCTCATTTAATTGTTCATTATTTCATTTTTGATAAAAATGTCAAATACTTTCTTTGTTTTTCTCCCTAGTAATGTTTCCGATTATCCAGATAATCGACCAAATAAATTTCGCGTCCATCTGCCTAGACCTCTATATTTTTCTGGAGACTGGGTATGTGGTTTGCATAGTATAAGTTATCCATATTCATGGCCCTCAACTATTGGTACTCTTGACGAGCAATGGATTGACATCCATTTTACCAAAACTGATGGAAGGGCTAGTATTATTCGTGTACCCGTTCCCAAAGGTTCACACACCACTGTAGAAGATTTACATCGATTTTTATTATCTACTTTAGAACACCAAGTAGGAGCTATAGAAGGATCATCCTTGGAAAAACCCGAGACCCTAGTCAAACCTCCAAGTGTCCGCAGACCAAAACGTAGTGTATCTCCTGAAGGAGAACTTAGAATGCCATCTCCTTCATCATCGGCCGAGGAAGAGGAACCCTCTAATAAAAGACCTTCAGTTGAAAGAGATAGAACACCTCCATCTTCTGAAGAAGGAGAACTTAGAGAACAATCCCCTTCGTCCTCTGCAGAAAGGGAACTAGAATCCCGTAGTTCATCTCCTAAACTTACCAAAATAATCCCGACCCCTCAACCTCCAATACCTACACCACAGCCTCCAAAGCCTTCACCTTCAAAACCTATTCCAGAAACTCCAAAACCTACATCACATCCTCCAAAACCTATTCCAGAAACTCCAAAACCTACACCACAACCTCCAAAACCTTCTTCTGAACGTCCAAAACCCTCAACTGAGCCCCCGAAACCCGCACCCCAACCACCAAGACCTTCTCCTCAACCACCAGAACCAACTCCTCAAACACCAAAACCCACTCCACAACCTCCAAAGCCTACAACACCTCAACCTCCGAAACCCTCATTAGAACCTTCAAAACCTATTCTAGAAACTCCAAAACCTACACCACAACCTCCAAAACCTTCTTCTGAACGTCCAAAACCCTCAACTGAGCCCCCGAAACCCGCACCCCAACCACCAAGACCTTCTCCTCAACCACCAGAACCAACTCCTCAAACACCAAAACCCGTTCCACAACCTACGAAACCCTCTCATCAACCACCAAAATCCGTTCCGCAACCTCCGAAGCCTACACCACCTCAACCACCAAAACCCTCTCCTCAACCGCCAAAACCCTCTCCTCAACCACCAAAACCCACTCCTCAATCTCCGAAACCCTCCCCTCAACCACCAAAACCCTCTGCTGAAACACCAAAACCCACTCCTCAAACACCAAAACCCACTCCTAAACCAAAGGCAATACAACCTTCTTTACCCACTTCTCTTTCACGAACACAAGAGGAAGAATCAAGAACTCCATCTCCCTCGTCTTCAGCTGAATCTTCAACCGAACTTCCACAACTCCCTAAACCTGAAGCTACATTTAATGACCCTCTATGGACTGAAGAATATGAACGAGTACTTACCCATGTACTTGCAAATCTTGGACAGAAGATAACTCCTCAAGCAAGGATAAATTATCTACCAAATATGCCTATACTTGTAAAAAAATATGGCAAAGTAAACAAAGTAGACTCAACAACACAAAAGCAAATTATAGATTCTCTCGAATTATTTTATCATAGCGACTTTGAACGATTCAAAGTCACATTCACCCACCCAAGTATAAAATATGTTTCCTTTTCCAATCAATTAGGTTATGTATTAGGCTTCCAAAATCCAAACATGGTACTAAACAATGAAATTGCCAAGTACGGGTGTGATTTACGAGGAGGTTTCTCAAGTTTCGCTGTTTATTCCAAAGGACTTACTGAAAGTATGATTATAGGGAATTCACTTAGTTCACTCCTAAGGGTTGTTTCTGTAGCTGGAGCCACCCCAGGACAATATTATGAGAAAATATATGATTCCCCAATTTATGCGCGAGTTTTACCAAAAGAAGTTAATGAGATTGAGATTGAACTGAGAACAATGGATAACGGTCGACCTGTACCATTTGAATTCGGTACAGTGCTCCTGGTCCTCATATTTAAGAAGGTGATAAATTTCTGATTTTCATTTACAAATTAAAAATGGTGCACATTTTATTTGATACAAGTACTGTGAGTTATGACGATTTTATTCTTCCAATGAAAGGAGGAGGAATTACTGATGACTATTTTAAAGGTGCAGCTCCCTTTCAGAGAGGTTATGGTCAAAGGGGAGCAGGCATTGGGGATATTATGAGAGGACTTTGGAGATTTTTCCTACCAATTATGCGTCGTGTAGGCACTACAGTTTCAGAAGAGGCACTAAATACAGGTCAACGTGCATTAGGAAGGGTAATCCAAGGAGAACCTATAAAAGATGCTCTAGTCAGTGAAGGGAAGAAGGGGATAGATACCGTGCTTGAAAAAGGTGGATTACCTAAACAATTTGGGTCTGGAGGGGGTATAAAAAGGAAAACAATCCCTAGTCATCAAACAGTTATTAAAAGAAAAAGATTAAAATCTGACGCCTTTGGTTTTTATTAAAAATGAGTTTTCATAAAATTGATCGCGATAGTATAAATTCTATTACAAATGCTCTTGATTTTTTCCAAGTACCACCAACAAATGTAAGCATTTCTTCATCCAAAGTTTTTGAAATTTTACCAAGTAATCCTGTTACTGATACACCTATTCATTTTAAGATTCATAGTAGTCAAAATTACATAGACCTATCAAAAGTTTACCTGTTTACTGAATTTCGCATAAAAAAGGAAAGTGAAGATGGAAAATTGGTCAAATTGGCTGCTACAGATAATGTAGCACCTATACAGCTAATAGGTCAGACATTTATAAATAATATGCGAATTACTGTAAATGGAAGGGAAATTTTTAATTCAAACTCACTCTACGCCTACAAGACTTACTTTTCTCACGAATTATCTTATTCGCAAGGGGCAAAAAGTTCTCATTTGAACGCTGCAGGGTATTTCTATGACTCGGACTTGAAACTTGAGGATGGCTCAGCGTACAATACAAGAAAAAATTTATTTTCTTCGAGTAAAACTGCACAATTCATTTCGAAACTTGATGCAGATATATTCAACCAACCTCTCTATCTAATAAATCATTGCGAAATTGATGTTGAAATACTTCCAAATGACATGAAGTTTGTATTGATTGCTCCTCCAGTACTTGGAGTTGACCAACCAATAACTTACAACTTTGAAATTGTAAGCTGTAAGTTGTACGTCAAAAAGGTTGATCTTATGGACGGGCTCTCTCTTGATATTGCTAAGAAACTTGAAACTAAGCCTGCAAGATATTCAATAAGAAAGACTATGATGAAACCACTTTTCATAAGTCAGGGTAGATATGAATTTAACGCAAACTTGTTCATGGACCAAATTCCCAGAAGAATTACCCTTGGTCTAGTTGCAAACTCGGATTATGTAGGTACAATAGCCAGGAGTCCTTTCAATTTTCAACATTTTAATGTTAGAGAGATTAGTATTATTGCCAATGGAAGACCATACCCCCAGGCACCCTATGACTTTGACTATAAAAATGGGAGATATGTAAGGGCATTTCATGATATGAATGAGGCTACAGGTCTGACAAACTCCTCTGAAAATAATGGAATCACTTACCAGCAATATGGTAAAACACACTGTATTTACGTTTTCAATTTGACAAACAGTGGGGATGATAATAGTGGGACATTTGACCTAATAAAAAATGGGACTACCGCCATAAACATTAAATTCAGTCAGCCAGTCCCCGAGGGCGGAGTCATGCTAGTTGTTATGGGTGAGGCGGACTCCCTTATAATGCTAGATAAAAACCGGACAATAGCAAGCGACACTACCATTTGAATAAATGAAAGGAATTTTAGTAACTTTATTTTTACTTCGGATATTCACTCCGTGTGTTGGACTAACTAAAGAAGCTATGGAAGAATTACAAGAGATTCCTGAGTATGCGGAGTATCTAAATAAAATGGGATACCCTAAGAAAAATGTTTCACTGCCAAGAGTATCAGCCCCTTCACCTAACTTTGCCACATTTCCTTTTGAAAACCTTCCTTCGCTTTGTAATGAAACCCCCAGGGATATATATGGACATGTGTTTTGTTGGGGTCTGATTTGCCTATATATTATGCTTATAGCAAGTTTAATTATTTACCAACTTCGCTCAATTTTTTGGTTAAAAACTTATAAAAATAATGTACAACACCCAGATAACAGCAATATTGAGGTCAAACCCACAAACCAGCCACCTATTCCAAGGATGCTTCCCGTGTAACAATTTACCCCAACCTTTAGTAGGGAAAGTTTTAGTTGTAAACTTGGACCCCCAAGAATATCAAGGTTCCCACTGGATTTCAATTTATGTACAAACAAATGGACAAGTAGTCTACTTTGATAGTTTAAATTTACCCACAAGCATATGCATTATTGATTCATTTTTAAAAGGTTTTTCTGTTGTTGTTAGGAATTTGAAAGGATACCAGTCTTTTACTTCTGATTGTTGTGCTCACCATTGTATTTCTTTTATTTATTTTCTTTCGAAAGGCTATACTTTCACCCAATATCTTAAAATGTTAGACAAGATTAATGACCCTGATATATTTGTGCAAAACATTGTAAATAAAATGATTAATTAGTTTCTGTCTGGGGTCGAGTATAAATAGTCGTCGAATTCATTCATTTAAACATTTATAATGTCTGAGGAAAATTCTCGCAAACCTGTTTATTTTGTCTTTGACAAAAATTTATGGAAGCTTACCAAGCCAAAATATGTACTTCAGTTTTATTTTTGCAAAGAATGTAGAGAAAAGCTATTCCATTCGGAAGATAAATTAGTGAGATATGAGAATGGGGTCACTGTAAAGTTTGATTTATGCGAGGATTGTGTTACAAAGAATTGTCGAGTGACCGACATGTGTCTATAAAAGGACAGACTTTTTACCAAAATCTTCATTCTTCCAAAATGGTTCTTGTTATTGAGGAAATTGCACGCTTTCTAGACTGCTCCGTCCGTAGCCTAGCCGGACATTTAGATAATCCTCAAACAAGAGTTTGTGTGCTAACAAAATTTTTGGATCGTAAAGTCCGGACAACCTACTTAAACAAGGACTTTGAAAGAAAGACCTTTTTATTTGGAGGTCTTACACGAAAAGGCGCAAATAGTATTCGCGCTTATGGACGCCTAAGACGACCCTACAATATTAGTATAGCACAACATTTTTATACAAGACATCGTATACAGCTTAAGAACCCGTACCTAAATTGCGTAATCGAGCATCGACCTTGGGCTAAGGATCGTTTTTACCCTATCGAGCTATTAGAATTTGTCGACGAAGAGATAGAGAAACTTCCAAGCTTGTCTTCGGAATTTTCAGATAAGGCAAAATTTTCTCCTCCAGATAGTCCTGAAATTTTTATGGACAAGGAATTTGAAGACGAGATGGAAATTTATAGGGGAGACCTTAGTCAAGATGAATGGTAAAACACGCGCACCCTTGAAACACGCGCACCTAAAACACACGCACCCCCATACACACGCGTGTGCACTGAAAATTGATGAAAATTGACAAATTTCATCTTCTTTTCCTTAATTTTGTAATTTTACCCCTAAAATGAACATCTCCTTTTATTAAATTCTGAAATCTACTACTTTGTCTCACTAATTATGTAAAATTACCCCTAAAAACTATGTCTTCTTTCTCTTAATTTTTTAATATTTTCAAAATTATATCTTTGTTTTCTTAATTATGCAATTTTACCCCTAAAACTTGTGACTCCTATTGACTAATTTTTGAAAAATTGTATCTCTAAAATTTTATCACGAATAAAATTAATACAATAATATTGTGTAATTTATTTATAAAATGACAATAAGAAAAAAATTTTGAAAAAGTAAAAAAATATTGTAATAAATAGGGGTATGGCTTCGCCATTTGACAGGCATGCCCAAACTCAACCAGGGAAATGAGAATTTATGCTCAAGTCCGCGACTACCGATTTCCAATGTGAGGATTGCCTCACAACATTCGATAGTTGGTATAGAGTTGGGTGCCCGTACCCCTGACTACTTTCCAACCCCTATAATTACAATAAAATTCTAGGATGTTTATTATTAATATGCCCAAAATTTAATACAACAAAATCGGAAGGGCGGACAATGCCCTTACCGACATAAGGTTTGTAAATTTTTGTAAGGGGTTGGGTAATAATTGAACCATCTCTAATAGATGGCCTAAGAAAATTTGGATATTTAATTAAAATTGGTATATTATCAGATTTTGTAAAATCGAAAACTTGTTTCTTGAAATTTTCGTAGCAGAGACCTTGGTTGTTGATGACATCCCAGTTGAGAGTCATTCCACGGACTTTGAGCACATAGTCCGGTTCAGTGTTGGGTGAAGACTTTTTTTGCAGCTTCAGACCATATTGTTTAGCGCCCCCTGAGCAGTACTCCAGAATATTAAAGTCTGGGTACTCATCAGTAAACTGACCCAGATGAGGCCCTAATTCAAGTGGGCAATTGTTGTCTGGGTGGGAGAAGATTAATGAATCTGTGTCAGTGTAAAGTAGCTGACACCCAGGCGTCCTGACAACCTTCTGCATCGCATGTAGAAGGTGGATCCTCGCTGCTGAGGTGGTCCAGAGCGAGATGATGACATTGGATGTGTCATGTTCTTCAACCCAATCTTTCTTCTTGATGTAGTTGATGAGAATGACATCTTCGGTGAGCTCATCTATTGAATTTATCGTAATAGAAGGGTCGTCGCACATTTTAGCCAGTTCATTTGGGTCGCCAGTAATTTTGCACTGAGAAAGTCCAAAATTCCTTAACGAAAATCGACCCCATAAGTTGTTTAGACACAATTTTGCTTGTGTCCTCTTTCCCTTATTGGCTGCCATCTTTTCCCTTTCGATGTTAATCCCAAACATTTCCAGGCACTCTTTCATAAACTTATCTTCCTTCTCCTTGTCACCCTTGATAGTGTTGTCAAAACCTGAAGAGTGAATTTTTTGGGCCATAAATTCACTGATATATGGCCTGAAGAGGGTGTCGTCATAGCTTTTAAATTCCAGCACCCTAAATAATTTGGTGACCACATAACCCTCCTTGAGGGCTTCATTTAGCTCAATAGATGTACATGTGCTAACCCACCCTCTTTGTTGGTCGGTGTGAGGGCAACAGTAGTTTTCCTTCACATCTCCATGTGGATGCTCTCTGGCACATGTAGAGCAAAGTGGGAAGAGAAGTCTTTCATCATCATCTTCCCCAATTTTCATAGGTAGGACGGGGATATCAATATTCCGTGGTGGGATGATGAAAAGTTTGAGAAGAGCAAGATTGTATTTGTTGTCCTCAGGCTTAGTCCAATTGACATCCTTATTTATGACGTGAACTTCAGGATGTCCAACCGGGTACCTCGTAGATACATTAATAAACGGGTAGAGGGAAGTGACGTCATAGTAGGAGATTTTCTGTCCCGTCTCAGCCTTGTGGAAGAGTTTCAGTGGACCAGTCCTTCCACCATAGAATGCAGACCTAATATTGATTGGCCCATCATCCAAATAATTTCTAAACATTTTCCGCATTTCGTAATCTTTTGATACCATATTTCGTATTTCACACTCCCAGTAAACCTCCACTTTCACTCCCAAATTCTTGATAAAATTTAACCGTTGTTCATCTTTTTGTCTCTGTTGTCCTGCTGTTAAACCTGTAGGGACTCTCGTAAAACATCAAGTCCATTAGAAACCTCCAAAAACTCCTTTCTGAAGGCTATTAGCGCAGCCATTAAAATATCCACATCATTGGTACAATAGGCTGCTAGTTGTTCGTCCAAATTGAATGGCTCATTTTTGTGTTTGTCGAACCATTTATCGAACTGAGCCCTCTTTTCAGGCATCATTCCATTTGCAAGGTAGTCATCTCTTGTTGGGAAGATTTCCTTTCCATAATTTTTCGGGTTGTTGGCCAGGTGAGGAAAGAAAGGCTTGTCTTCCACCTGTAGAGCAAAAGCTGGTACGAGAGAAGCCAAGGGCATAGGCATTAAATTATACGTGTCGTGGAAGATGATCCAGCATTTTTTAGAATTTTTCACCTTCATTTCATACATTTTGTTGCCATTCTTGATCATATCTGGAGTTAGTCCCTGGAGATATAGTGCTTTGAAGACTAGGACCATATCAAACCTTCCTCCAAAATGAGAGAAGGCTACCGTATCAGTAGAAAAGTTAGTAATCCAAGCCACAAAATCAGTTAGAGGATCATTAGTAACATTCTGTTGATCGACTTGAGTGTTGGAAAATGGTCTGTGGGAGAAGGTTATAGTTCGTTCTTCTCCGCAAACAGTACAATCGTTGTTTCCGTTACTAATACACTCGGGGCAGTTGATTTTTGCAGATATAAAATTCACTTCGTGTAGTTTCCCTTTTTCGCCTTGCCTGTGTTGCATGGTTTCAAAGTCAAAGGCGATGATTCGGTAGGGTTTTGGCTTCCTTGGAGTTAGAGGTTTAATGTAACAACCTCTTTTTGGGTCATGGAAGCTAAAGCAGGTGGTGCAGTAACGTTCTGAACAAACATGCCCACTGCGCCCATTCTTGTTGTTGTCCTTCACGTACCATATCACTCCACATTTCTCACATTTCTTAGAGTTGTGGCAAAAGTTAGATTTGAGATGATGGGTGTAGCACTCTTCATTATTAAATTCCTTAGAACAACCATTGCACCGTTTGAAGTAGTTATCTAAAGGCTGGCATGGGTAATTGGGTCCAATCCTAGAGCAATTTTGACATTTTGATGTGCAGGTGATAGAATGATCCTTTGGGCGGTTGTAAATTATCTCACATGATAGGCAATAAGGTTTACCAAATAAATCGCTTGCCCTTCTAACCCCGTCAAAATGATTATTGTTAAAATAAAGAAGAATTGGAGTAGTGTAATTTTCATACCCATATTTAAAAATAGGTTTCTCATCCAATTCTCCAAAAATAAAAACTTTAAACTGGCCTTCATTCCTTGAATTCCAATAATCAGTCACTTTGGGCACCCATTCTTGAGCATCATAACTAGCTTGGTCAAGAGGTGCTCCTACATTTGCCATCAGATCCTTCGTATCCTGTTCGAATCGATGGGCCATTCCATATCGGCTGTGCATGTAGTTGTAAAATTTACTTCTAGACCAGGAACATATTGAATATACATATGAAGAAATCAGGGCATAAAATAGGCAGAAGTTGTCGGAATTCCGGATCTTGATCAAAGCCTTGTCGTTGATACGACGAGTAGACTTGCTACCGCTACCTTGAATAGTTCGTGTTGTAGGTAGATTCTTCTTATCTATGGTGGTAACGGAGACGTTGAAGGGTTCGCCCCAGAGCATACCAGTGTCTTGCTTTTTGGATTGGGCAACTTTAAGGAATTGATTAAGAATTGAATCCACCGTGTTGGGAGTGATTTCACGGATTGGGATCCAAATATCAGATTCCAACAGTTGACTGCTAATGGTACAGCCGAGTTGGTCAGGATTGAGTTGATTGTCCCGGCTGGTCTCTAGTGTCTGGTCAATACATTTTTGAAATAGATCCCTAAGCAATCCCTCTGGTTGATCGGGTAAACCAGATATTAAAAATTTA